AAATATCCCAAAAAAGTGGGAGAGGAGTTCGGAGCTGTTTGTGTTTATCCCTTGTAAACTGCTCTGATCACCCAGCTCCGAGGCCAAGGCCGGAGCCAACGCCGGGGACATCTGCAATGAAGCCATTCCATGGTGCAGGAATTTTCCCTGTTCCCAGCCCTCCATCCTGCCCCACATCCCTGCTCCAGGCTGACTCCAAACCCTCTCTGTAACTGGAGAGTTCACTTCCCAAAACAGGGAGGTTTTCCTCAATTAATAGGAATTTTCAATGCCAGTGACATCTGCAACAGAAGCATTCCTGGGCACAGGAATTCCCGGTTCTGAGCCTTCCATCCTGGCCCACATCCCTGCTCCAAGCTGATTCCATATCCTGGGATTCCCTCTCTGTAACCGGAGAGTTCATGTCCCAAAACAGGGAGGTTTCCTCCAATTTATCGGAATTTTGACAGGCTCCTGGAGGGGAAATTTGATAAATTTGGGATGGCAAAAAGCAGAGAGCTTCCACAGGGTTAGGACTGGGATCCTCCTGAGCACCTCCTGCATCCCAGAACCCTTTACCAACACCTACAGGATCAACACTTCCAGATATTCTATGTGGAACGGGATAATGAATCCACAAAGATCCCGAAAAACAGCTGGAACAAGGGAAACGGGAAAGAGAGAAGAGCTCCAACATCTCAATCATCCCACCCATCCCTGATCCCATCCAAGCGTCCTCCAGCTGATCCAGCAGCGAGAGCCGCCATTCGCTGATCCCGGAGTTCCGAGGAGCTAAAATTCCTTGGAAAGCTCCACCGAGCAGCTGATCCCTGGCAAGATCCCAGAACCCTCCTGCAAGAACATGTTGGGTTTGGAGCTCATCCTCACATCCCGGTGACAATCTGGAGACCACGGATTGCCTGCCAGGGAATGCTGGAAGAGGAGCTGCCAGTGCTGCTGGAAATAAACTCAGCTCCGTGGGGTTTTGGGAAGATGAGGGGGATTTATGGCCATGGACAAGAGCTGGAGATGATCCCGAATGGCTGGAAGGGCAGCAGAGGTGGGTTCCACACTCAGTTTTTCCTCATTTTGGCCCAAAATCCTGTGCCAGGTGAGGAATTCCGCCTCAATTTCTGGCAAGATCAGGGAATTGAAAAGGAACAAGTGGAGGCTCGAGCTCCAAGATGAAGCAAAACCCAGAATCTGAGAGGTCACTGAACACCAGGAAACCCCACAATGCTTTAAACTGGATCATCATCCACCAAAAAGATTTCCCAGGAAATCCTCTCCCCACGGAGCTTCCAACTGCTCCAAATCTTCCAACAAACCTCTCAAGAGCAGCACCCTCACTGTGGAAATTGGGGGATTCTGTGGAAAATCCTGCCTTTTCCGAGCTCTGTTCTTGGTTCCCTGGTTGGTCAAGAGGAGAACTCGGGCTCGGTTTAAGATTTAAACTCGGCCTAGGCCCGAATCCTTTCTCCTGAGAGCTCTCCGAGTTTCAGGGTGGGGACAGTTGGGAGTCAGAGCCGAGGAGCAACAAAAATTCGGGATTAACGAGCTCCGAAGAGGCCACACCTGCAGGAATGAGCCTTAATCTGTTCTTCAACATCTTGATAAGAGCGGAATGGTCGATTTTCACCCCGTTAGAGCCAGGCTCAGCTGTCTCCGTGCACAGTCGGGGGATGGGTTTTTAAGAAGAGGATTCCCTAAATCGGGAGCAGCCCGGGGTGGCTGAGGTGGGAGGTGCTCAGCTCCCGAAAGCAGCGATTAGCAGGAGATGGAGTGAAGAAATCTGGCTAAAACGCCTGAATTCCAGAGCTGAGCCCTCTGGACTCAATCTCGAGCTGATGAAAGGGAAAACTTAAAAAAAGAATTAACTCCCGGAATATCCCGGATTCCGGGAAAAGAGTTTGTGGGAGCTCAAAGAGCACAGAGGAGTGGGAGAAGGAGCCGGGGTCATCCTGGGACAGGGTTTTGTTGGAATACCTGAGCTCGGGAGGCTTTTGGCCACCCCTGATGCAAGAATTAGGATTTAGGAGTTAATTGGGATTTAGGAATGAATTAGGAATGAGGATCCTCGCCACCTTGGACTCACAAGTGATGCTAAAAATCATGGAATTATGGAATGGCTTGAGTTAGAAAGGACCTTGAAGATCATCTGTTCCACGCCCCATCATGGCCAGGGACAGCTCCCACTGTCCCAGGGTGCTCCAAATACCATCCCAGCCTGGCCTTGGACATTCCCAGAAATCCAGGGGCAGCCACAGCAAATCTGGGAATTCCACCCTCCCAGGGAACAATTCCTTCCTAACACCCCACACCTAATCAGGATGCAAAAAGGATTTTGAGGAGCACAGTGGAGATCTTTAGGACTCAGAATATGCGAAAAGCTTTGGGTTTCAGTGTTTAGGGTTGGCTACATGGTTTTTCCCAGCAGGAAAAAACCGGGAGTGAGAACACCGGGAAGAGCCGCGGAGGAGAGAGGAAACCTGTGCCGGGTTTGTGCCGCCGGCATCGCTCCTGGTGGGGCTGGGAGCGCCCAGCCCGGCCGTGCTGCCAACCCCAAACCCACCAGAATCCCACAGAGGTCACGGCCTCCCTTTTCCATGACCCCATAACCCACGCTCTGCTGCGCCCGTACCCGAGGCCGGAATTCTGTGGTTTTATCCAGGCCATGGCAAGCGAGGGACGCTTTAGATGAGGAAAAAATAATCCAGAGGTGCAGGAAGATGAAAGGAGCAGGGAATGGGCACCTTCAGATCTCTGCCTGATCCCACTTAACCCTCCTTGGAACGGGAATAAACCCTCCCTGGATCGGGAATAAACCTTCCCTGGACAGGGAATAAACCCTCCCTGGATCAGGAATAAAACATCCCTGGATTGGGAATAAACCCTCCCTGGACAGGGAATAAACCCTCCCTGGATTGGGAATAAACCCTCCCTGGACTGGGAATAAACCCTCCCTGGACTGGGAATAAACCCTCCCTGGATTGGGAATAAACCCTCCCTGGATTGGGAATAAACCATCCCTGGACTGGGAATAAACCATCCCTGGACTGGGAATAAACCCTCCCTGGATTGGGAATAAACCATCCCTGGACTGGGAATAAACCCTCCTTGGATTAGGAATAAACCCTCCCTGGATTGAGAATAAACCATCCCTGGATTGGGAATAAACCATCCCTGGACTGGGAATAAACCCTCCCTGGATTGGGAATAAACCATCCCTGGACTGGGAATAAACCATCCCTGGACTGGGAATAAACCCTCCTTGGATTAGGAATAAACCCTCCCTGGACAGGGAATAAACGGGAGCCAAAGCTCCTGCCAAGGAAAACGCATCATTCCCGAACCCCTGCACCTCTCCTGCCACCAATTCTCCTCCTGGATGGAGACAGCCCCATCACCCTTCCCCTTGGCTGGAAAAATACCTCCATTTTTAAGGAAAAAAACCCAAATTGGAGACCCGAGCTGGTCCTGGTTCGGGGCAGGGACACACACGGCTTTTTTTTGTGGTGTCACTCCTAAAAATCGTGACTAATGGGTGTCATGTGCTGTTTGTTTTCGCCTCCTCTCCCCCAGGAGAAAAGAGGGAAGGAATTTTTGGAGGTTTGGAAGGGATTTTACAGCCTCCAAAATAGGAAACTGCTGCTGGAGCAGGGAGCTGGCCTCGGGGCAGGGATGGGGACGGCCTCGTGTCCCCGGCAGTGTCACCAGCGCTGTCCTCGCACCGCAGAGGTGGGGGGAGGACACCCCACCCTTGATCCTAAATCATTCCCAGCCCAGATCCAGCTGGGAAAGAGCCGGAGCCACGGAGGATGGGGGGTGACAGCCACCACTGCCACCAGCCCTGCAGCAGGGGGGACACGGGGACGGTCCCCACCTCTGCCCAGCACCCCCAAACCAGCCTGGGCTCTGGGTGGGGCTGTCACCTCAGGGGGGCACAAAAGGGGCTCAGCCCCCCAAAACCGGGCTGATCTGGGGGGCTCTGATCCCCCAAACCAAGCTGATCTGGGGGGCTCTGAGCCCCCAAACCAGCCTGGGGCTCTGAGTGGGGGGGCTGTCACCTCAGGGGGGCACAAAAGCGGCTCAGCACCCCCAAACCAGGCTGATCTGGGGGTGTCACCTTAGGGGGTCACAAAAGGGGCTCAGCACCCCAAAACCGGGCTGATCTGGGAGGCTCTGATCCCCCAAACCAAGCTGGAGGGGTTCTGAGCCCCCAAACCAGGCTGATGTGGGGGGGTTCTGAGCCCCCAAACCAAGCTGATCTGGGGGTGTCACCTCAGGGGGACACAAAAAGCCCTGATCCCCCAAACCAGGCTGATCTGAGGGGTTCTGGGCCCCCAAACCAGGATGATCTGGGGGTTCTGAGCCCCCAAACCAGGCTGATGTGGGGCTGTCACCTCAGGGGGACACAAAAGGGGCTCAGCACCCTCCTCCCAACAACTGCTTCACCCCAGACCCCGCATTCCGAATTCCCTGAAATCCCAGGAGGTTCTCAGCACCACCCCTTCCAAGAGGAACCCCTCGGGCTGTCCCTGCAGCGGGGGGAAGGTGACAATCTGTGGGGCCACCCCTGTCACGCGTGTCCCCATCCCGGGGGGCTCGGGGCGACACGCGCGTCCCCCCCGAAACCCACCCTGAAATTCCTCAAGGGAGGTGAAATCCCCCACGCGCGGGGGTCCGGGGGAAGGAGATTTAAAAAAGGAAATAAAGGAGATAAACGAGGGGGGGAGGAAAAAGCGGAATAAAAGGAAATAGGTGGGGAGAGGAAAGGAAATAAAGGAGATTTTTAAAAAGAGCGGAATAAAAGGAAAGAGAGGGGCGAAAAGGGGAATAAAGGGGGGGGGAAAGCAGAATAAAAGGAAAGACGCGCGGGGGAAAAGGAAATAAAGGAAAAAAAGGGAAAAAAACGGAATAAAAGGAGAGACGAGCGGGGGAAAAGGAAAAAAAGGGGGGAAAAAAAAGAGGGAAAAAAGCGGAATAAAAGGAAAGCGGGGGGGACAAGCGGGGCCACCGACCTTCCTCTTGTGGCGGTGGATGTCGCCGATGGAGTTGGCCACGGTGTTGGGGCCCAGCAGCATCCGCGTGCTCCGCGGCCACTCGGTGCTCACCAGGTGGTGCTCCCCCATCAAGATCTTGCGCACGTTCTCCGCTCCCGTCACCCGCACCAGCGGCCGCCCCAGCAAGTGCGTCTTGAACACGTTCCCGTACTTCTCCCGCCGCGAGGACTGGAAGCAGGAGCCCTGCGGGGGTGGGATGGCCTCGGGTTTGATTCGGGGTTTTACCCCCCACGGCAGCTCGGAATTGGGGAGCGGGGTGGGGTTTTTGGGGGGGCAGAGTTTTGGGCTCGCCGGGTGTCCCGCAGCGCGCCGGGGGTGGCTTCCTTCCTTCCCCCCCTTCCTCCTCCTCCTCCTTTTTACTTCTCCCTTTACCTCCCGTGCCACTTTTAAACATATTCCTACTTTTTCTTATTTCCGCCCCCCTTTTTTTTTTTTCCCCGCTCCTTCACACCCTCCCCCCTTTCCCCCCCTCGCTTTTTGTCTCTTTTTTCCCCCCCCTTTCCCCCCTCCCTCCCTCCTCGCTCCCGGCTGATTTTGCTCGAAGGAGGCAGCGCTTTGCTTTAAGTAAATCTCCAGATTTCAGGGACTTTAATAACTTTCCCACATGCTCCAGGGGCTTTTGTCGGCGGAGAGCAATAGCGGGGGGGTCCCCCCAAAAAAACCCCCCTGGCGAGCGGGGAGAGGCGCTGCGAGCGCCGCGGCCGCGCCGCCGGGCTGGGAGCGCGGGTGTTTATTTTGAAACAAAAGCGCGGTTGTGAGGTTCAGATGTTCAGGTGACCCTGTTTCTTGATCTGCGTAAATATAATTAAAGTCCTTTTTGTGGCATTAATAAAGAGTTATTTGTACACCATTTCCAGGGCAGCACAAAGAGCACCTTTATGCGGCACAAGTTGCGAATGGAGTCCAATTTATACAAAATTTTTGTATTTTTAGCCCTGGACTCTGTTTGGACGGAGCCTGTGGAAAAGCGAGAACCCTTTTCTGGTCCCCCTGTAAAAATCTGATAAATTTCTTTAAAAAATAAAGCCCTATTGAGAGCGTGCCGTTAACCCCTTCGGCGCCGGGCGGCCGAGCGGGGCCGCCGTGGCGGGGCTTCCCCGGCGGTGGCGGCGGCGGGGGGAGGACACCGGGGGACGCCGCCGCTGTCCCCGCCGGGACCGGGCTGTCCTGCCCCGCAGCCGGCTGCAGCAGCGAAGGGCGGCAGCATCCTCTGTTGATTACTGTAATTAATTTTTTAAAAAAAATTTTTTTTTTTTTTTTTTTTTTTTTGCTGCTGGGAGGAGAGAGGGGGAAACCCTGGCGCGGCTTCGCCTCGGGGCTTCCCTCCCGGGATGCTGCGAGCCCCGGGGTGCCCCGAGCTCCCCCCCACCCCCGCTTCTCCTCCTCTCGTATTTTTCCCCTTTCGCCCGGATTTTTGGCAGCCGCCCCTCGCCCCGCGGTGCGGGGGGATCCCGCTCCGCCCGCCGCTGTCGGGCGTTTAGCGAGGTTAATCCCGGGTTAATCTCCCCATTACCTCGGCGGGTTTCCCCCGCCGCGGGAGCCGCGCCGGGAGCGGCCCCGGCAGCGGGGAAGGGCCGGGACGGAGCCGCGGCTCGGGGGGGACGCGAGCGGCGGAGCCCCCGCATCCACCCCGGGCCGCCTCCGCCCGCGTTCCCGGCGCTGCGGGTTTCGGCTTTTGGCAAGAAGCGAGGCCGAGGAGAGGAGGAGGAAGAGGAGGAGGAGGGGGTTGGCAGCCCAGGGGCGATGCCGAGCCCGGGCAGCTCCCGCCGGGAGAGCCCAGCCCGGCCGCGCTCCCTCGGTGCTCCCCCGGCTCCGGCTCTCCCTCCCCAGCTCGCCGAGAAGCCGCATGATGCAATCGGAAGGAAAAGAAGAGCGGGGAGTGAAAAAAACCCCAAAAAACAATAAAAAATAAAGCCAGAAAAAGCCTTAAAAACACCCTAAAAAAAAAAATTAAAAAAAAAAAAGCAGCAAAAAACCGCGGTCCCAACCCAGCTTCCAGCGAGGAGCAGGGAATCCTCCTTACCTGCAGGAGCCAGTGGAAGGTCTCTCCGATTAAAGGGAATCCCATGGAGCCTTTGGGGATTGGTAGCTTGCAGGTTTTGTCGCGGGTGGCAGCCCAGCGGAGCTGCCACAGCTGTTGGGACACGGCCAGCAGCAAAGTCAGTGACACCAAGCACGCGGCGAGGGTAGCCAGTGCCGAGACGAGATCAAAACTTGCAAAAAGCATATTTGGAAAGAAGGGAGGAGGAGGAGGGTGGGGAGAGAACACAGCCCCTTGACAGGCACCACACTCGCACCCACACACACGCGCGGAGAGACGGCGAGTGCGGAGCGCCCGCTCGGAGCTGCTTGGGGGGTCCTGGGGCGAGGGGGGCCCCGGCTCTCCCCCCTCTGCGCCGGCAGGTTGGGGAAACAGAGAAGGGAAAAAGGAGGAAAATTAAAAAAAAAAAAAAATTAAAAATTTAAAAATTAAAAATATTAGGTGGTGAGGGGAAAAGAGCCGCTCTCGCTGAGCCCCTCGCTGCGAAGTTTGGGTTTGTTTGGGGTAAACCTGCCGGAGTGACACGGAGAAAAAGCACCGGGCGTGCACGGAAAGAGAGGGGGATTTAAAAATAAAGAGGGAAAGCAGCGCCCCCCCCTCTCCCCCCAAAAAAAACTGGGGTGGGGGTGAGTGAGGAGGGGAAAAAGGCGAGGGTGAAAATGAGCGAAAAATGAATTAAAAAACAATAATAAAAAAAAGAAGAAAAATGAAAGAGAAAAAAGGAAAAAAACCTCTGGAGTGGAGGATTAAAAAAAAAAAAGACCCCAAAAAGTCCAACTGCAGATGCTCTGGCTCTCGCTCGCTTGCGAGGCAAAGCCACACACACCAGAAGGAAAAGGAGGGGAAAAAATAATAAAAAAGAAGAAAAGAATAAAAAAAAAAAAGGGGGGGGGGGGAGAAAGGTAAAAAGAAGAAGAGGAAAAAAAAAAGGTAATAAAAAGGAGCGAGATTTTTAAAAAAAAAGTTCAAAAAATCTGAAAATAATTCAGCCACGAGCTGAAGAGATGGAAGAATTAAATAGCTGTATATATGTATCTACACACACGCAGCGAGCCGCTTCGGTTTATAGCTCTATCTCTACATATATATAAATATCTCCCTATAAATACAGATCTCTCGCGACGCCGCTTATTTGGGAGCCCCAGACTTTTCACCAGACTTCTGTAAGGAAGAGGAGAAAGGAGGAGGAAAGAAGAGGGAAAAAAAAAAAAAAAAAAAAAAGGGAAAAAAAAAAAAAAAAAAAGGGAGGCAGGGCTGCTGGGCAAAGCCCCTCTGCACTGTTCGCTTTGAGGCAAAAGAAAGTCAAATGTGTGTTTATATAGAGGCGGGGAAGCCGGGGCTGGGCCGGCCGCCAGCGCCGCTGCTCCCCCCGCGCCCCCACCCGCACTTCAGAGGCTCGGGGGGGCCGGGCCGGCCCGGGGGACGCGGCGCTGGAGCGTGCGAGCCCTGGCGCGGAGCCCGCGGCTCGGTCACGCCGCTCTGCTCGGCCTCATCCTCCTCCTCCTCCTGCTCTTTCTCCTCCTCCTCTTCTCCTCCTCCTCCTCCTGCTGCTGCTGCTGCTGCTGCTGCCGCTGCTCCTTCGCTGCCGCCGGCCTGCGGAGAGACGAGCGCGGCTCAGCCCTCGCCGGACCCCCGCCCGCCTTAACCCTGAGGCACCCGGAGCCTTCCTCCCCCCCCCGAGCCTCGGCGTTTCCCAGCCTCCGCCATCCCCCCGAAATCGGCTCCGCGCTTCTCTCCCCGACGCGGAACCCGCGAGACATTTCCTTTCCTTTCCTTTGCCGCGCCCCCCCCCCCAGCCCGCGGGGTTTGAGACCCCTGGGGTTGTCCCCCCTTCCCCAATATTTAATCCTTGATCGTT